ATAATGCTGAATGAGAAATCACAACATCTTACAACCTCCTAAAGATTTAAAGCCTTGTACGGGTGAATCAGAATCAGTTCAAGAAATTTCTATCACTTCTTATTTCACACTTTATTTTGAGGTGAACAGTTTACATTGGAGTGTGTCTTAAAGTGCAATGTGTTTGAGATACTAGTTGTCGATTATGTGAATTTGATCTTTACATATTATTTCATTCGTTAGTCTTCGGAAAATTGAGGCTATCATGAACATTGGAATGAAGAAAGACAGTCATTTTGATCCTTCTTGGTGAAAAAAAGAAAAAGAATTTATTGATAGCAACACATGCCATTGTCGAAAGATATCAGAATTCAAGAGCACTGCCAAATAGAGAGAAATCGAGATGGAATACTCAAATATGCATTTTATCTATAGTGAAACCGGTGGGAATTCAAGAGCCGCTACTGAATTATATCAGGATATATTCCCAAACAGACATCATCCACATTACACGACTTCAACAGCTGTCCATCGACGATTGAGTTTTTTTTTATGTTATGGTTACCACGGAAAGGGATATCCTGTAATTTCTGGAGATTATATGCCTCGGAGAATACCTTCTTTGGCAATGTATTCCAGAGCCTTGCTGTTCGTTGGATGAACAAGTCTTTGGAAAGAGATGTTCTGCAGGTCTCCAAAGTGACCACGAAGGGGTGTGAAGCCTCAACTCGACGGGTTAATCTCGCAGGGACTGCCAAGGGAGAGACAATTGTTGATATTTCATAAAAGCATCGTTCATGAAAAAATCCATAAAATACAGCCAGATCGACAACTTTTCTGAGGTGTTCCAGAGAAGTAAGTGAGTTTGTGAGCGAGGCATACCCACGAGACGAATTGCCCTTTCTTGGACAGACCCCAACAGTTTCAGTGTGTTTGGGTGCTGCACTCCAAATATGGGAACAGTATCCCAGGACAGGTCGAATCTGTGCCTCATAGATCATAAGCAGCTGACTGAAAGTGAAATAGCACCTGGCACGAAACAGGAGACTAAGTTTTTGGGATGCACTTTTAGCAATTGATCTCACGTGATTTTCCCAAGAAAGGTTATTGCAGATTGTAATACCAAGCATCGAAATGAATGTCTTCAATATATGGTTTATCCTGACAAGCTCATGTTGGGCAAAGTGAAATCGGCTTTTCTAGAGAAAAGGCATGCTTGTGTTTTGTTCGCATCGAAATCTGAAGGTATTGGATCCTCCTGGAGAGAAGGCGGTATGGAGGTTACTATCATCCGCGAAGCTGTGTACTGGACATGAAGGTGTTTCTAACAAATCGTTGATATGGAGTAGAAATAGTGTTGGTGCTAGAATTGAACACCAGCATTGGTCAGATGAAACTTTGTCGACCACTACATGGAGAGACCTGTTTGAGAGAAAACTAGCTAGCAGAGAACATAGCTGGGGAGGCAAGCCATAAGATGGAAGCTTGACGAGAAGTCCATGGTGCCAGACTCGATCGAATGTCTTGGAGATATCAAGTGCCCGGGCTGGGGTTTCACTATATTCCTCAATAGATTGCAGCCAAATTTGTGGAACGTTAGCGAACAGGTCATCAGTTGATCTCTGATGATGGAAGCCATATTGCCTATCGTTGATAATACCTGAATGTTCCAGGTATCTTATGAACTCGATGTTGATAGCTCTATCCATGATCTTTGAAATAATAGATAGCAGTGCGATCGGTCTGTAGTTGCTAGGTAGGGTTTTTTTGCCTTTTTTAGGAACTGGTTGTACTCTTGCAATTTTCCAGTTGGACGGAAATATCCCCAATTTGTAAAAGTAGTTGAACAACTTGCAGAGAACAGGTGTCAGTTCGAGAGCACATTTCTTGAGGACAATCGGTGGGATTCCGTCGGAGCCACAAGTTTTGTAAGGTGAACTGTGTCTCTCAAATTGTATAAACACAATTATGAGGCTAGGAGAACGATGAGGGATAACGATACTGAGGAGGAAATGTTTGACCGATTAGCAGAAAATACTCCATTCACTACTCGAGCAATCGCATATAATATGCATGTTTCCCAGTCTACAGTTAGTCGAGTAGCACGTGAACAATAATCGTATCCGTTCCACTAACAGAAGGTTCTAAATGCTGGTGATTATTGTTCCCGTGGAGTTCTTTGTAAATGGTTCTCTGGGAGATACCAGGAACCAAATTACTTACATAGATATGTATTATTCACCGATTAGGCATGTTTCACAAGAGATTATGGATATTCAGGAAAAGTGATTGGGATGAAGAAAATCCTCATGGTATGTTCAGAAAAGGCTACCAACAGAAGTTCTCTGTCAATATCTGGGCCGGTATTGTCGAGAATCATATTGTGGGACCAAATCTTCTTCCTTCTTGTTTAGATGAATAGTCCTACAGACTATTTCTAGATGAAGTTCTAGCTGGTTTACTTGAAGAAATATCTATCTCAGTTCGTGAATGGATGACACGACAGAGCACCGGCTATTCCCAACATACAGTTCGTCAGTTTCTTGACCAGAATTTCCCTGATCAGTGCATAGGTAGATATGGTCCCAGTCATTTGCCTCCACAAGTTTTTTTCCTTTGGGGGTACCTCAAATCTATAGTATATTCGATACACCTGTAGAATCTGTAGAGAATTTAACTGATATAGCAGGCATGGTAATCCAGAATACACCAAGCATCTCCCAAAACGTGCGAGAGTCTATAATCAGAAGATGTCTATTATGTATTGAACAAAGTGGAGGTTCCTTTGCTCCGAATTTAATTTTTGTATTTCCTTTAGCGCATTAATATTCTATGCACCAAATAATCTATTGGAATAATTAAAATTTTTCTACTGTTTGACATATTGAAAATGTTGCCATGAATACCCTTTACTGAAAACTGTTGTATGAATAGTTTGATGGTTCTGACAAATTCGAGATAGCTTACGACTATCAACCTCGAGTTTGTTGATTCACTTCTGACTCACACACACAATGTTTTGAATTTTTTCGACATTCAAAAATATTCCGGAGGTTATCAGCTAATATTGATATTTTGTTTGATATCAGCATCATGCTATTATGGTACGCAGCAAATCACGCCTTTACTCAATAATACCTCAAGATATGTCCCAAGTTTTTGGCAACTATCTCCAGAACCTCTAAATTCAGGCATGCAAAAAAATGTTATCACTTTCAGGTCGAGTATTGATAATCCTAACTGATGTCATTCACTAATTTGATAATTCACCTGTCTGACAAAAATTTTGATGGAAAATGTGGCGACATATGAACCTCACTACACCACTGGTTGACGAAATTCTAAAATACAGACTTTCTGTTATCACTCTTATTAATCTGTATTGGTATACCAAGTTTAAATTTTTTGCTACAGGGGTTCTGGAGAAATTTAGACTTTAACTTTTGTCGTACTTTTGACATGCACCCTGAATCTCAGTGAGAATGCATTTTAGGACATAGGGGAAGTGTGGATATGATGAAATACCTGATATGATGGCAAACTCTCATTATCAATGGATTTTATCCGATTATGGACGATTCCACAGTTGCCCGCGCTTCAAATGTGTATCATAGCGCTACTGATGTAACGATGGCATATTATTAGTGCCCGTTTAGCCGCTGCACGAGATTGTTATAATTATTTCCACATATGAATCAGACCAATTTGTAGTTGTATCCATAAAATATTGGTCATTTTTCATAGTCATATGTGATGAGTATACTATTAAACTTTCCATATAGCATTTACTCTTATTGATGATTTTGAGTTCGAACAAATTTTAACGATATCAACAGTGTTGCTCTCTGGATATGATAGCATTCTAAATGTTTGTTATGATGGCGTAGGTGGCCATCATGTCGAACGAACTATATATTTGAGGACTGGATGTTTGCTCCTATAGAATAAACCGAGGTCTTGTCAAAGAATATGCAGCTGAAGATGTTGTGGGGTCAGAAAATTACCAAACAACATCTATTATTCATTCTGATGCATCTGATATGAACCAAGCACTTCGAAAACATATGACCAAGGTACAGCAACAAAATTTTCTAAGTTATCAATTAGCATTGAGAAAATATCACGATTAACAACAGTGTCTGAGCTATTAGGCAAATGATGAAAACCAAGAAAGAAGGAGAAAATGGGCGTCATCATATATTGTAGGGAAGAAGTATGTGGGAAGTGTTAGGCACCAGAAAGAAGAAGAGAAATCGGCGAGAGCATCTAAGAGAAAGCTTTAAGCCTCTGATGAATCAGATCAGGAACGTACACAAATGAACCATGAAAAAGATGAAGATGATGATGATGATGAAGATGTTGCAAGATGCTTGTACAATGAGCTTTTATGATGGTCTGAATCGAAAAGGGCTGTTTGACTCAAATGTCAGCTATATTGTTTGTAGGCCTAAGCTGCCTGTGCAGATGAATGTGAAAAAAATGAACATTTCATTTGTAAAATTTTGCGAAGATAACTGAATTCACTTATAATACCTCATTTGTTGATTTTCTTACAGGGTGCCATAATTTAAACTCGTTCGTTATGATGGCACTCTAGACAAAAATAATCAAAATACAATACATAACTGATCATCTGTTGGCATGAAATTCTGAATAGAAATATATACTAACAATGATAATCCTGATGTTTCTCATGAATTGTATCTCCATTGAAGCTATCCTGATGATACTTGAAAGGATGCCATCATATTCACACCTCATCTACGTTGATAGAAACTTATTCTCTCCACAAAATAAGGTGAAGTTGACTTAACTAACGGATCTTTTTTTTATGCTCATCAAGATCATTTCATGAGAAATTTTGAGAGAGATGATTTTATCGTCAATCATTTCTGTTTGGCAGCACTAACGTATGAGAGAGAGACATGGCCGAGGTGATACTGATTTCAGAATTTCCATGAACCTTCAAATACCATGAAGTATGAATCAGCTTCAGCTTAAAACTTTTCTTTTTCTTTCAGATTCCGATATATTCAAAGCGGTTCTCAGCGTGAAGAAGACACAAACTAACTTCATTCCGTTTCTATGGATATACCAGATGAATACTTTGGGCTACTTCGTATGCGAGGAAACTCTGAAACACCAGAAGATGCAAGACCTCATCAAATCAAACGAGAAATTCGATGTTTTCATCACTTCTCAATTCCTAATTGAGTCGCTGAAAGGCTTAGCACCACACTTCAATGCCCACCAAGTGATATTCAACAACGTGATGGCCAACTCATGGATGAACCATCTGGTTGGAAATCCTTCCTTGCCTTCATTCCACCCAGAAATCATGCTGGGATTTCCCCCAAAAATGTCCTTCTATCAACGAATGCATAATACCTTCTACAAGTTCGTCCAGACTTTGAACTACCACATGTTTTACTACCCTACCCACAATGAGCTGGTGCAAAAGTATATATCTGAGGATATAAGCCTCTACGATGTCTTGTATAATGTTTCGCTGGTTCTGTCCAACTCACACCCTAGCTTGACAGTGATCCAACCGAGTGTTCCAGTTATCAAAGAAATTGGGGGTTTTCATGTCAGTCCACCTAAAGCACTGACAGGAGATCTGAAGTCTTACCTAGATGGTGCAGAGAATGGAGTCATCTATTTCAGTTTGGGATCATATCTGAAGAGCGAGGATCTGTCAGCTGATACAAGAGCAGCGTTATTGAATGCATTTGCCAAGAGGAGAGAACGCGTTATATGGAAGTGGGACGATGCTGTTTTGCCTGGCCAACCATCGAATGTCAAAGTAGCGAAGTGGTTGCCGCAATCCGATATTTTGGGTGAGTTTGGTGAATGATTAATTGTACATCTTCAAGCTTCCATAAATGAGCGAATTCTTAGTTAGCGTCGATTTTTGTTTTGGAAGTTGAATATCATGACAGTTTCTGGTAAGATCACAATTGGAGAACAACTGATATTCGTTCCTCTTGTGCAACAACCCAACTGTTTCTAAAATAAAGAGACATGTAATTGTCAATATTCGTTGAATAATAAATAATGGTTTGCAGTGAGTGTCTGATCTAACTCCACAAATATATCTAACCGTCCTTTTTGTAGGACGGGCCCAGAATATATCATATTCGGCTCCATCACAGCAAAATAAATCATTCGAGCTTGAGACCTTGAGATCTTGCGTGCCACTACATGAACAGCACTGCAGCCGGATGCAAGTGATCCACTATGATACCCAGGAATTTTCCGTATTCGTTATAAGAAATTGTTATCTCATCTAGAATCATGTTTGGAAAACTGAATTTGAACGTTGGAATATTGATTTTGCTTATATTGAAATACGAACTGTTCCTCGATTCCTTCAATGTCGGTACCTATATTTTGTTCCTATATAATTTTCACTCCAAAGAATTGTAGTATAATCCGCAAAAATTGTGAAGTGACCCTGAATATTGATGGGAGGTAGATCATTTATGTAGAGAAGAACGAGGACAGGTCCCAATACGGATCACTGGGGAACCACTTCAGAGTACCCGCAGCTAGTTCGCACAGTCTGCTCTTGATCCCGTGATTAAGACTGGAACCAGTCCAAGGCAACGCCTTTTAACCCATGAACGTTGAGTTTTTTGAGAAGCAGATCATGATTCTTACAGCCGAATGCCTTCGAAAAATGGCAGAAAACTACCTCCACCATATCCTTTTTATTCAATGTGACATGAAGTTTCTCAAATGAAGAGAACAAAGCATCGTTTGGGCTTATCGAACTCTGAAAACCAAACTGATATACTGATAATATCTTATGTTTAGCTAGGAGATCACAAATCTGTTTCTTCACCATTTTCTTTATGATTTTCGAAAGAATAGATTACAAAGATACAGGACGATAATTCGAAGGATCTGATGTATCTCCTTCCTCTAACAATGGAACAACAATAGACGTTTTGAAGCTTAATGGGAATTTTCCATTGGAAAGTGATATGTTCATACATTCTCATAACACTTCCAATGCCTGATTATGATGAATTTTCAATAACTTTCAGGGATGAATCATCATCACCACATGCAGGTGATGATTTTCTTTACTACCTTGATGTACGAATATCTGTCACCCAGCTCGAAATATTAGAATAACAATATACAAAATATATTCTCGTTGCTGAATTATGATATACCAAGATGACTTTTCTGTAAAATGAGACCTACCTATACCTTTACCTACCTTGATTTACTAGTCAAACTTGTTGCTAATGATAATACGTCTTTATTCATCATTTGCAGAACAACAATAAACAAAATAACAAGATATTATACACATTCAGACTCAACTTAAAGAACCGGAGTACAATTGATTTTTTATAGATATTTTAGCGAAAACAATGAAATGAACGATAGTCAAAAATAAATGTGGCACGTTAGATGACCAGCGGATCCGATAAAACTGAGTTTGATACACAGTACTTTGTGATCAAGGGTATTAAATGCAGTACTAAAATCCAAGAGTATCAGACAAGTGATAATTCCAAGGTCTACCGCCCGAAAAATGTCATCAGTAAATGAAAGGAACAGTAGTAGTGCTGTGTTGAGATCGAAATCCTGACTGAACTGATGTGATGAGCTCTCGTTGTTCTTGAAATCATCAATCAAACTCAATAACATGATTCTCATTACTCTTTCAATAAATATGATGAAGGAGAAAAACACCCAAATATTCGTGAAATGATCGACTTTTACCAAACATTAATTTCAACTTGTCAAGGTAACTATTGAAAATGAAACTATTTGTGTAGAGACGACCGTGAGTATCCCCTTTCTGTAGATAGAATATTGGTAACAGTTTCTCGAATCCGGGTGCCGTAGACTGAAAATGCTTGTTGGTCAAGCACGAAGCACTTTGTATTTCAACCATAATAAATTTTGAGCCGTAGCCATATAGTTTTCTCTGATTGTGTTATTTCATCATCACAGACAGAGCTAGTTATACCTACATTAATTATTTTCATTTGACAGCTCATCCAAATATCAAATTATTCATCACCCACGGTGGCTACCTGAGTAGAACAGAAACAGTGTACCATGGAGTTCCCGTGATTGCATTGCCGATTCTGGGAGATCAGAGGATGAATGCCAAGGCTGCTGTGAATGATGGATACGGAATAGCTCTGGATATATCTAACCTCACAGAGGCTGCCCTTTCAGCAGCAATCGAGGAAATTCTATCTAATCCGAAGTAAGTTGTTATTTCTTGAAATATTCAGCTAAAAGATGAGATTTCTTGAACCCACAATGGAATTCAGTTTTATAAATCATCAAAAGCATTCGAATCGATCTTATCATTCACACTGTGACGATGGATTGATGATATCATCATACCCTTTGTGTTCTCATCAACATTCCCTTGATAGAGGTAATAGGTATGGGACGAATACCGACCCTCAACTGTGACCCCAAAGGTCTGTTATGATTCACCCCTAGAGGTTACAGTTCTGTATAGATCATTTCTTTATACGAAGTCCTTATTTGAACGATGTGAGATTTACGTGAAATCGGTAGGTTCTTAGTGAAACCCTTGATTATTTAGTGTGAATACTCAATGGTGGAACCAAATATGTTAAATCATAGTGTCTCTGAGCAAGAGTATAAACATGATATGTGTTTTATCTTCCACACAGCAGAAACGACAGTATGTTTGTTGGTTGAGACCCATCCTTTCCTTGGTGGTATCATAGACGACAGTGTTCCTTGAGTAGTTTTGACAGAATTCGCAGGTCCTGCTTCATTCTTCATTTTAGGATCAGTCAATTTCTATTTCTATTGTTCAATGTTTTAGGCATGGAAATCTCAGAATGAGCAATTATCGGTTACTCAGAATTCGTGAGACAAGAGGATGTCGGCTTTCTCGTTTCCGTCCTCCCTGGCATGAAGTGGATATAGTGTACAGCTGATAATATCATCGACAGCTAAGGGTCGTCGGTCATTGTATCCAGAAATTGCCTTGTTGATATAAACTATTTGGATAAGACTACTAACTCGAGATATTTTTGGTGATTCTCATCTTATTGAAATACATTTATTCAATATTCATGAATTATGATCCAAGGAGAAATCTTCGAGATCAAATGTATTCTATAGGGGCACCTGGTGATCATACTTTGTATAGTAATGAATTGAACACATACAGTTAGATGGAAAGAACATGTCACGGTTGGATGGTGTAATAGCGCTCTTATTGCAAAAGTGACTCGAGTTGCTATATCACTGTCCATGTGCGACATTTTCATTGTATTTTACTGTACATGAGAGCGATTTGCAATAAATAATAAACATCTAGGAGTATTCGGGTTGATATAGTTTCTTGTATCATATAAAAAATAATTGTAAACAACCATTATAAGACAATGCCTTCAACTCGAAACAAGTTTTTAGTTCAAGAATTGATCTTTGTTTTTCGATTGATTAACGAAGAAATCGGTTTAAGAGCAGTAATTAGCTTGTGTAATGCATTCTATAATGTTTTGAGGAGAGCTCTGCACAGGTACAATGAGACCGAGAGTCCCAGTTATCATCGTCGAGTTTCGAGATGATTCTTATAAAACTTGATTTCAATCTCGTTTCTTGTTGATATTTAATTTTTTTTGTGTCATCGACTTCTTATGTAACACTGTAGTTGTGGTTGAAATTTGTTGAATGAGATATGAAGCACCCTGATCTATTCCTCAGGGCACCGATTTTTGGGGTCGATAAGAATCGTACATATCAGGAAACAAGTTCAGATTGGGAAATTTAAACTTGTATTTCAATTGGGAGTGAATTTTCAATAACGAATTAGTAGTCTTCTATGGATAATGGAAAACAAGAAAGCCGTTTCTAAATATCACGAATGAAATGGGCCATAGTTTAGTCATCGTTTTTGATTTTTCTCACTTAATTGGAAAATGTTTCCTCTTTTCCTTCCACCCTGTATACTCCATTATAGTGCTCCATTCGTCTTTCAAAGACATAGAAACATACGAATATTTCTTTTCAATATTTAGTTCTAGCGGAGTTCTGGGGGAAAATTCAAAAAATCCAAGACTCATAGAAAGAAATAATCATTCGACTGATTTTCAATCAGAAAAAAAATTCCTCGAGTTCCGGCAGCATCGCAAATGTTGATTATGGTGTATAATGGTTCCATTTCACACTCTCTGTATTTGTGTAAGTTTTGTACTGCGGACTCGTATCATTGCCTGTGGAAGTATTCCCAACAACATATATTATAATCTCCAAAAGTTCAAAAAAAATCCAATACCTACCTCCTGTCCCTATCCTCCCTAGGAACGCACGATGTTCTTTGAACATTATAGGGATTCCCTTTCGTGCGATAAAAAAAAACCGCATGGAAATCGGTCAATTTTGATGTCAGGATATTCATAATAGTATATTATGTAACAAGTGTTATAAACGTCCTTTTAGTAACGAGTAGTTTAGGCACGAGCGGAGCAGAGCGGAGCGAGTGTTTAATAAACAAGTGTCTAGAATAGTTTATAAACGCGTTACGTACTATGATTTTTCTACGAACTCCGAAAATAACATTAACATACCTACAATTCCTGCTAACCTACAAAATAATTCGAACGGAATGGAAATTGAGAACATAATACATGCAACTGCATGCAACCAGCGAGACACGTATAAGTGATATTGGTTGTAGATGTGTCCAGTCCATTGCTTACTAACCTTTGTTTCACGTTCATTGTCATGCTTAGCGCAGAATAAATAAATTGTTCTCGAAGATGGATGCTTCATTTTTACACTTCTTGGAGATATGCAAGTACCAGAACATTATCTTCGAGTTCACTCTCATCTACTTTTCGCATATAGTTTTAATGAAGAATTCTGATACAAACGAATATTGTTTGAATAATTCTGATACAAAATTCGAAAATAACAGTTGACAGTTAATACAATTGACAGGCCAGACATGTATCAAATTACTGAAGCTGTGTTTAATGAACTGCGTTTTCATGGTAATGTGTTTGAGAAATCGTGTTGTCATGGTAACGTGTTTAATATTTTGAATGAATCACAGATCGATAATCCGTGATTAATCGATCATTTAGCGTGGTACATATCCGTACGCTAAATGCCATTTTAGTTATGTGAGTAAAAAAAATATTTATTCGTGCTGTTTGGGATATTATTACGGATAAGGGACAACACGTCTGGTAAATTTCAGTATAGGAGGTCAATCGTTGGTATTGTAATATTGGAACAAATAGAGGACGCTACAAACGCTAATGCGAGCAAGAACAGCAAAACCGGAGACAAATCAGAATTCATCGTATTGTGACGTAAGCACCATGAGACGTTCTGATGGGGCCAACAAAGAAATGGCACAGAAGAACAAAACAATACTTCCAATATCCTTCAAAAACCTCTTTGAGAAGTCATATCACGTCCCAATTAACATCTTCATGCCAACATTTTCAAAACATCCCAAAACATCCTAGAGTAATGTTTATCGCTGAAACCTCTCTTTTGGAAATTGACAGAAAAAATATAAAAATGAATTCCATCAGTGATAATTCTATCTACGCACAAGTATGTGCCATCGAATTCAATCACAGGAAACATACACTTGAACACAATATTCTTCATTAACACTTCCGCGGAGAGTTTCAGCGGTCTAAGTTTCTATCATACTGTATACCTCATGACCGACAGCAAATATGTTTCAAGGAATATCTTCTCATCATTCCCTTGGTGATATTTTTGAAATTATAGGATTATTTGAATTTTTTTTTTTATATTTCAGGTACATCGATAACGTGAAGTTGCGATCAAGAATAATGCGCGATAGGAAACAAACACCGATAGAAGAAGCAGCATACTGGATCGATTATATAGTTAAATATAATGGAGCTGAACATTTGAGAGTGCCGTATTTAGAATTAACTTGGTATCAGTTCTACTTATTCGATGTAGGACTAGTTATTCTAGGTGCCATATTGGTGCCCATTTATATCCTCAGAAAATTGTAGATGGAGTCAGATAATTAATGAAACCAGGCAACAGATATTTGAATATAAAATTTTATTTTTTGTACAATATACTAGTCTGCTCAATTCATTTGAAATTACTATGTGATATTTATACTTTCAGTCATGTTATTTGGAATATTCGATTGAATACTACATGAGGCCATTCATGAGAATGTCATTCTACTCGAGGAAAGAAATTTGAATAGACCATTTTTTGAATTTTCTGTGTCATTATTACACCGGCGCATTAGCACACCAATTCTTTCATTTTATTTAATCAATATCGTGACAAATTTTGAATTCATTTCGTTGAACTATCCGCAAGATAGTGAGTGGAATCTGATATGAAGGAAAATACGAATAAACGAGATGTATTTTCCTCGTGTTGCAGTATTTGTAATGTCAAAATATGTCATTTTCATTTGATATTCCTTTCGAATTTTATGCTTCCTACCACATTAACTGTACCAATCAAAGATTTTTGATATAAATACATTGAGAAAAATATAAGATTCCAATACATTTCTACATTCATACCATTCATCACCTAGCTATTGGTATTTCAGATACTCATTCCTTTTGATTTGACAACATTACATATATGGTTGTGAATAAACATCATTTCAAACCTTTTAAGAAATATCCATCTGTTGAGAGATGGATGTTTACCTGGTCATAATTTTTTTATTATCTAATAATTTCCAGTCCAATTCATTCAGTAGCCTGAGCAAGGGTAGTAGATTCTGTTTCCGTGCCCATTTAGGGCTGAGTCTTTTTTTTGCATTTTTGTGAGTTTAAGAACATGTGCTTCTGGACGCTTGTTCCTGCAGGCATAGTTGAGGATTCCGACCAATCAGAATCTTGAATTGAGCTGCGTCCTTGCACTTAGACTGATGAGGAGTATGGATACGGAAGACGGCTGAGGAATCTCTCAATTCTCTCCTGGTTCTCTTGCTTATTTCTTAGTGCTCTCATATTACTTTCGAAGTCAGTATAAATTATCGATGATGTATAGTGATTTCGTGTTGCACATATACGTTTTTATCGATACTCACACTGAAGAAAAAAGATGTTAGTCATTACCAAACGTTTAGTAAAATAGGCGCCAGCCACAACTTTCATCAAATAATATACCACTACAGAGTTGTACTATACTAAACTATGAGTATTATATTATTTTGTAGTGGTATTATATAATGTTGTAGTGGTATCATTTGATGAAAGTTGTGACTGGCGCCTATTTCACTAAACGTTTGGTAATAACTACCATCTTTTTTTTTCAGTGCACCCGTCCTGTGTATCGAAGTCAGAAATTTGTATTCGGAAATACACGGTTTATTCATCAAGCTCATATTCCATATTTCTCTCTCTATGGGCATTTTTTTCATTTCCAATGAATTACCCAGATAACACTGGCTATCCTATGGACATCCAGTTCATGTCCAATTCGGGTCGGGATATCCTTGGATTGTTTTGTTTTGTTTTGTTTTCAATTTCCCGATTTTACTGAACATAATATGAAAAACTTGATGACGAGGAAACCCAAGACATCGATAGGGCCCTACTTTTTCCTCGAGTCGATTCTACATGTATAAATCAAGATATGCATTTTTTTTAATAGAAGTAGGTAAGTAGTTTGTCTTCACTTTCTCTTTATTTTTTACACAATTTTCGTCTTCATTTTACACCACTACACTCTATGAGGAAAAATCTCAATTAACTACAACAGTAATCAGATACCTATGAAATAAGATAGTAAATAACAATATCTTCGATCCTATCCGAAGGATTCCCAAACTGCGAGTAATTTCTCGATAAACCCTATGCATATGTATTTTCCTCAACTCGGCAACATCTCCTCTATAGGCTTTTGTCATCTCAACTCTGAAACACACTGTACATGATATCACCGTGATTACCACTGCATTTCAATCAAAACATGACAAAAATGTCAATAAATAAACCCGATTTGGTCTCTTTGTGTTTTAGAATTCTGTTTTGCAGTGTATCGGTATATAAAATCCCTTCTCATTGATTTTGTCAGAGTATTGATAAGCAATCTGATAATTTTGAAGATGGACAAACCATATATCAGGAGGAAAAAATGTTGAATAATGTCTTCAAGAAATCGAGGATAGAACTAGATTCTGGTGAAATAATGAGAGACACATCAGTAGATTCATGAACCTGTAGCATTATGGATGGTCCATCATCTTCACAAATGTCAGTAACCAAAGCAGTAAATATGACCGCTTCTATCACTGCTAAATCTATCTGCACTAATGAAAATTTATCTGGAGGGTTCAGTTCGAGGTTCAGCTATAGTAGTAATAATTCATCTATTGATGATAATGTTGAGATTACCCAAAGCATTACAAATATTCCTTCTATGGGACAGTATAAGCTTCAGCATAATAATATAATAATAATAATAATAATAATAATGTGTCTTTATTTTATGAAAAAACTTGGTAACACAAACTATGCAATAGTGCTGGAGCCATTCGGCTTCGGCCGCTCTGTACCCCAAATAGCAGTCAACCAACCTTCTACATATATATTGAAACCCTCTCACCCAAAACTTCCTCTTGATTCGAGAAAATTATTAAATACACCAAGAGTTGTTGATATAAAAGAAGTGAAACCAGGAAATATTACTATTTTGGTATAAATAGGATAATTGAGAATTTCATCAAAAACTCTCAACTATCATCTCAAATTGGTAATCATGTAATAGATTCACTGATTAATGTTGATGCTCTACCTCTATCAAACAGTTCTGGGAGCCAGTTGCACCCTATTTTGTCAAGTGTGTATGGGGCAAATAAAGCCATTAATATAATAGATATTTTTCAAGTAAATGGAAAACCAGCATATGCAAATAAGTTTCTCAATGCATTTGTAACTGAAGCCATAGATATTTTTAATAATAAGGATATCGAATGGACATACATGATGGATACCCTATGGACATACATGATGGATATCCTATGGACATACATGATGGATATCCTATTCACATACATGATGAATATCCTATGGACATATATGATGGATATCTTATGGACATACATGATGGATAACCTATGGACATACATGATGGATATCCTATGGACATACATGATGGATATCCTATGGACATACAAAACGGTGGCCAAAGTACGTCCATTGGACATCCATACGATATCCTTTGGATAAGATTTGGATGTCCAACGGATATCCAGAATATTCTAAATGGATATCTATCGGACATCCATTCCAATAATGGAAAAAAGATGATTAACCTCCAAACAATTTCTGTTTTGAAACATTAGAAAATTAAAGGAAGAGGAAAAATCAAAACGAATTGAATCGGTTTTACTCGTTTGGAACTGTGAGTTTGATTCTTCAGGTAAACTCAATGAAATAGTTTGAATACGTGTTTTCCAGGTATAACCTAAAAATACCAGAGTATTTCAGACAGAGTATTGTTTTGATTCAAGTAACCCTAACAACACGAGTACGTCCCAGGGACGTCCCAGGGACGTCCTTCATTTTCTACGAGGACGTCCCTGGGATATCCTGTGTCGGGACATAGTACGTACTAGGGACGTCCCAGGAACATCCGCTTTCCACAAAAAGAGGCATCCTAGGGATGTCCTTCTGGTACGTCCCTGGGATGTACCAAGTACGAAGAAAGGATATCCCTAGTGTTGAAATACAATGATTGGATTGCAATTAAAGGAATTTGTTTGATACTATTATTTATCACCCACTGTAGATTGAGTTTATTAATCAATGTCAATAAAAATATTGAAACTGTGAACGAAAGTCATTCTCATAATTCTTCATTAGTTTTGAGCTTGTATCGATAATTTATTCATTAGAACCACTACAGATAACAAGAGGTTATGGGCCCAGAAGGTGATAGTGATAAATTTCGAATCGCTCTCTTCGACGGAACAAACTTCTCAAGTTGGAAGTTCCGGATGGAAACCTTGTTAGAGGAACATGATCTACTTCATTGCATCGAGGTTGATGCAACAGAAGAAGATTCTTTCCAGATTCAAGCAGATGATACTGCGGAAATGAAGCGACACAAGGAACTACTAGCACTGAAGAGGAAACAGCAAGACTCAAGGTGCAAGTCAATGATAATTCAAAGAATTGCGGATAGTCATTTGGAGTATGTGAGAGACAAAAAGAGTCCAAAGGAAATATGGTTAGCCCTGGAAAATGTGTTTGAAAGGAAAGGTGTAGCAAGCCAACTATTCCTCAGGAAAAGACTGATCTTGATGAAATATCATGAGGAGAACAGTATGGAAAAATTTTTCCTGGAATTTGACAGGACTGTCAGGGAACTCAAAAATACAGGTGCTACCATAGAAGAATTAGATATAGTTATTCATTTGCTGCTTAGTTTACCCAAGTCTTTCGATTCCCTTGTTACTGCATTGGAAACTTTAGCAGTTGAAAAACTCACTTTAGATTTCGTCAAGAAAAGACTTCTAGAGGAAGAAACGAAGCGTAAAAATGCAGACACTGAAGAAGATTCGAACAACGGCGGTGAAAATAAAGCAGCGTTCTCTGGCAAATCCCAATTCAAGTACAAATGTTACCGGTGCGGAAGAATTGGACATACGCGCTCTAATTGTAAAGCAGACTTGCATAGAAAAAAAGTGCAGAAGAAAGATTCACAAAAAGCTAGCCTCAGCATGGAAGAGAATGAATTGGCATTCATAGGAAAGTGCATGGTAGCAAACAGTGATGATTCTGACAATATCACTTGGTATTTAGACTCAGGTGCTACAGATCACATGGTTAATAGTCAAAATTACTTCGACTCCATGAGATTTTTGAATACACCAGTAAAAATAGCAGTCGCCAAGTCAGGAGTTGCCCTCGAAGCCAAAAAATCCGGAGATATCAAAGCTTTTTCAATCATAGGAAAGAAAAGGATACTTTGTACAATAAGAGATGTACTCTTCGTACCCGGACTAGCTTATAATCTACTCTCTGTTAGAAGATTAGAAGTCGCTGGCATGAAAGTGACATTTGAAAATGGAAGTGTCATAATTGAGAAAAACGCAGAAGTAGTAGGACAGGGTGTTAGAAATGGGAAACTCTACGAAATGAACTTCGAGATCCAAAAGAATGACAACGCCTGCCTCGGAAATACCTCTGGAAATCAAGCTGATTTATGGCATGAACGACTAGGGCATGTCAGTTATGGAATTTTGAATCAGATGATGAAATCAAATTGTGTAACAGGAATAAACCTACCATCTACGAACAATTCTACGGACATATGCGAAGCCTGTATCAATGGTAAACAAACTCGGAGTCCATTTCGTGACAGAAATTTACCAAGATCGAGTCGACCTCTAGAAATTGTATACAGCGATGTATGCGGTCCACTTACTCCAAGTACTTGGAATAATAAAAAGTACTTTGTGGTTTTCATTGATGATTTCACGCACATGACTGTCACCTACCTACTTTTCTCTAAGGATGAAGTTCATGGATTCTTTCAAGAATACGAAAGCATGGTAACCGCTCATTTTGGTTCAAAAATATCTCGGCTGGTATGTGACAACGGTGGGGAGTATGTGTCAACAGCATTCAGGAAACATTGCAGGGAGAATGGAATTCAACTGGAATATACAGTAGCATACACTCCGGAACAGAATGGCGTTAGCGAACGTATGAATCGGACTTTGATGGAAAAGGCTAGAGCAATGATCTTCGCATCTGGCTTATCAAAGGAAATGTGGGGAGAGGCTATTCTTACCGCCACATACCTGACAAATAGATTAATCTGTAGGACCACTCAGAAGAGGGAGACACCTTACGAAATGTGGTACAATAAAAAACCTGATATGTCACACCTGAGAATTTTTGGTAGTGTAGCACATTGCCATGTACCAAATCAACTTAGGAAGAAGTTAGATTCAAAATCGGAAAGAGGAATACTAGTTGGTTATGGCGTACATGGTTATAGAATCTGGAACACTAGAAGAAGAACCATTACTTTGAAAAGAGACATTGTCTTTGATGAAAGAATGAAAGGAACGGAGGAAACTCTACACAATAAACCGTCAAGAACTCAATACTGCTCCTGGAATGAGAATATATTGGAAGAAATATCTGAAACATGCAGAACAAACAGATTAGAACAGGAGGAAAATATATCAGAAGGTGGGAAAGTTGAAGAAAATAGCGAAAACGAGAACGATGCAATAATAATGGATGACGTGGATAACAACGATACCATAAAATCGACGTCCAAAAACGTGAATCAAGATGATCTAAATCTCAGACGTAGTGCAAGACAACGCAAAGAACCAAAGTGGAAGGATGACTTTGACTTCAGTTGTTTAGCACTTAGCGCTGAAAATTTTGTTGAAGATGTGCCACAACAGATAAAGGATTTAGAGCAGAGAGAAGACAAAAAGAAATGGCAGGAAGCGATGGAAGAGGAAATAAGATCATTAGAAAATAACAAAACATGGAAATTATGTAGAGCACCAGAAAATAAGACACTTGTAGGAAGTAAATGGACATTCAAAATCAAGAGAGACGATGCTGGCAATATCAAAAAATACAAAGCACGACTCGTTGCTAAGGGATACTCTCAAAAGGAACATTTTGACTATCATGAGACGTATGCTCCAGTTGCAAAATTGGTAACCATTAGAGTGGTGATGGCCATTGCTAATCACTATGATTTTGAAATGCATCAAATGGACATAAAAACAGCATTCCTGAATGGCATACTGAAAGAGGAAATCTATATGAAACCTCCAGAGGGCTTGGAAACGAATGGTCTGGTATGTAAATTGGAAAAATCGATTTATGGACTCAAACAAGCACCGAAATGTTGGAACGATCGTCTTAACACATTTCTAGTCGGCGTTGGTTTTGTAAGATCTATTTCAGATTACTGCCTGTACACGAAATTCACTCCAAGAGCCAGAATTTATCTAGTGATCTATGTAGATGATCTACTTATTGTCTCTAACGAAATTCTTGAAATTGAATTGTTGAAAAGGAAACTATCAGAACAATTCGAAATGACAGATGAAGGAGAGGTGAAATACTACCTTGGAATGAAGGTAGCAAGAGTACGTGAAAATAAAGAGTTGAGAATTAGTCAAACTCATTACTTGAGACAAGTATTGAAACGCTTCAATATGGATGACTGTAAGCCCGTTAGCACACCCATGGAGACTAATCTAGTTCTAGAAACTGGGGAGCACAAAGATCAAGAAGAGGCCAGAGATCTTCCATACAGGGAACTTGTTGGTTGCATTATGTATCCCATGTTATGCTATCGACCAGATCTGAGTATAGCTATCAGTTTCTTCAGTAGATTTCAAAACTGTTATACAAAAACACACTGGAACCATCTCAAGAGGCTACTAAGATATATTAAAGGAACTATAGATTTCGAGCTGTGTTTTGAATCAGGAAGTCCCACAGAAGCCATAATTGGATTTGCAGACTCCGACTGGGCAGGTGATTCAAAGGATAGAAAATCTATATCTGGGTTCCTATTCAAAGTATTCGGGAATACCATTTCTTGGACAACCCGAAAACAAAATTCTGTGGCCCTATCGTCAACTGAGGCGGAGTATATATCGGTCAGCACTGCTACATGCGAATTACTATGGATCCAAAATATTCTGCAAGATTTGGATATTGTCTTTCGGAAGCCAGTAGTCATCTTCGAGGATAATCAGGGCTGTATTAAAATGACTAAAAACTCACATAACATGAAGAGAACTAAACACATCGATATAAAGTATCATTTTATTAGAGAGAATGTGGAAAATGGTTCACTATCATTGCAATATATACCGACTGACCAACAAGAAGCTGACATCCTTACTAAGGCTCTATCCAAGAAAAAATTTGTATACTTCAGAACAAAAATAGGACTTGGACCTTCCAGGATTCTTCAATTGAGGGGGGGTGTTGAAATACAATGATTGGATTGCAATTAAAGGAATTTGTTTGATACTATTATTTATCACCCACTGTAGATTGAGTTTATTAATCAATGTCAATAAAAATATTGAAACTGTGAACGAAAGTCATTCTCATAATTCTTCATTAGTTTTGAGCTTGTATCGATAATTTATTCATTAGAACCACTACAGATAACAAGACCTAGGACGTCCCAAGGATATCCCAGGGACATCCCTTCGACAAAAGAAAAAAATGTAGGTCGAGTACGACGGATTGACCCCGGGACCTTTGGCTAATCAGGCACGCATCTTACGCCATTGGCTATTGAGCCTCCTGAAGATTTATGTACTGAACAGATTTATAAACAGGACTTGACTACAGAAACCTGAATAAATACAACTTTGTTAGGATTAGGGTATAATTATTATATCATTCTTGGGTGTTCAAAAATGAAGGGCATTATGCATGTACGATTTCTGTTTGCGAAAAATGGTAATTTCTTAAGAAGTTCTGAAACTTTATTCTTAATTTTCATCACGAATATTTTCCGGAAGAAAAACAAACATTTTCAAAAAAATGCAACTTAATACTTCCATGAAATTCAATGACTCTTATGTGAATGGATATCAGATATTCCAGGGACACGAATAGGATAACTAAGGGATGTACCGGGCGGGATGTCCACTGGACAACCACTGCGCGACATCCCCTGGATGCCCCAATCATGTCCTTGTACCGCGGGACGAAAAAGGGACGTACCTAGGACATCCCTGTGTTGTTAGGGAAATATCCAGAATGGCCATAACAACCAGTATTCCAAGCTAAACCCAGGGTTCGTAATTGAAGTCTACATTCCCTTGGCTCCTTGATTCCAGGTCGATTCAGAAACATTGACCCCTGCTTCACAATATGTGCCTACTTCACTGTTGCTAATATAGTCTTCTCTTCAAACTCAGTTTGTATAGGACCAGGTAAAGTAAATCATCTTCATAAAAAATCTGGCGCCCGAGATTCCCAGAAATTTTTCAGGGGTCTGACAAGCACCAAAGCATGGGCCTCAGAAATGGAGGTTTTCACAAAATATTAATATGAAATGGTAATGTCGCCGAATTTTCTACGGTATTCGTATGATGTTAATATAGGCATTTCAGGCATTGTATGACTAACACTTCCCACCTAACCCTGCAGTTGATCCATCCAATGCGGATTCTCCCAGATCTGATTACCTCATCTGCTATATCTCTTCCTTGTATAGCTAATGTGGCTACTTGGTCCCAACTGAAGTTTGGTCTTATCTGACTGTTATTATATAGATGTATGTATCAAACTATACCAGTTTCAATATGGCCTTCAGTACTCCTTTGGTTTCTTCAGTAGCGTGAATACATCAATATTCCCCTTCACACAGTATTTTCCGATCGTTAGTCGATACCAAGGATAAAATCCTCCTATTTCAAAGATCTGGTATCTACAAAATGTTTTGCTCACATTCTGATTGTATGGCACGATGGTCAGAGTGGAAGGAGATTCAAAGTCGTGTTAGTGAACATGGGATAATCATGTCAGATCCATCGCAAAAGCTGCTTCACAAAAACTCGGATTCTTGTTCCGTGCGAAAAGCTACTTTACACCTCAACAGCTTCTCATGATCTACAAAGCGCAGATACGGCCTGTTCTGGAATACTGCTCCCACATATGGGGTTCAGCACTAAAACATACGCTGATGCTCTTAGATTCCGTCCAGGGAAGAGCCATTCGCCTGGTGGGTGACGCCACACTCACTCACTCTTTGACATCATTGGAACACCGTAGAAAGGTCGGCGACCTTTCACTTTTCTATCGATACTTCCACGGGAAATGTGCTTCGGAAATCTCTGCTATCATCCCTTCACTAGCAATACCAATCAGACGAACTAGACAAGCCCAGTCAGCACATCCTTTCGTTGTCAACCTCGAAAGATGTCGAACAGCACTTTATCAGGACTCCTTCATCCATAGAACGGCTAGGCTCTGGAATTCATTGCCTGTGGAAGTATTCCCAACAGCATATTATAATCTACAAAAGTTCAAAAAAATTCCAATACCTACCTCTTGCCCTGTCCTCCCTAGGAACGCACGATGTTCTTCGATCATTATAGGGATTCCCTTTCGTGCGCTCCAAGCGATAAAAAAAATGTTCAATTGATTGGCAGGTACAAAAATCCTCCTTGAGATTTAAACAATACAAACAAATTAATTTGCTCATCTCATTTCGAATTGCAATCATAACTTTGATATGAATAATGACTATGAAGTTCTACACATTGGTCAGAAAAGCACTACTCTAAATTCATTGAAGATATTTGAAATTTATGAATCAGTTGAAGATTATAACATTATATCTATAAACGAACAAACACACTTTGATTGTCGGAATTCCAACGCTTAAGTGGTACTTATTTGTCTAATATTGCTTTCATATTCATATTCGTCCCGTCTGTTTCATTTCGTTTTCTGAATATTTGATATTCGATCCTCATTGTTTTATGTCACAAGATGGTTCTGTGTCACATGTCATGGAAGACATATATCACACACTTTATAGCAAGTCATCCATTAGCGTACCCAGCGAGGGGCAGGAGGAGGGGCACTACACAGAAATACCTATTACATCAATATTGAAACCTTACTCTGACGCTTTCATTTTCTGAAAAAAAAAAACGCAATGAATTTCTTAGACCAGCTATGGTGCCCAGAGTTCTGATGTTGTGAGATTCTAATTTTATAGGTGCATTTTCTTCATCTCTTGGAGCGCAAGAAAGGAAATTCCTATGATGTACGTGGATCATCGCTGGTATCTAGGAAGGATAGGTAGAGGAGGTAAGTGTTGAATATTTTCCTGAACTTGGAGAATTCCACAGCTTCGCCGTTCTAAATACGAACGAGTTTTGGAATATTGTTGTTCGACATTTTTCAAGGTTAACGACGAAGAGATGTAATGACTGAGCTTGTCGAGATCGTCTGAATGACATTACTAGTGATGGAACATTCCTCGTGAAAGTATCTGTATAGAAAACTAGAAGTCCGCCGCCTTTTTACGTTGTTTCAATGGAGTCGAATAGTTGGTGAGTGTGACATCACTACCAGGTGAATAGCTCTTTGCTGGATGTTTGGGGGCTGAACTCCATACAATAGAACAGTATTTTCAATCTAGCCATATATGTGCTGAAAAGCTGTTGAGGTGTGAAGTAGATTTTCGCACGGAACAAGAAATAAGATCATATGAATCAAAAATCCTATTCCACCTCTCGTTTCACCGAAAACGTCTCCAAGTTTCGGTTTTCAAGTAGAACACCCTATACCCATTTTATTACGTGATCGGTTAGGGATTAACGTAATGAATTCAACTATACCGGGTTTGAAAGGGTTATTTTGAAAGACTACGAAGATATTCGCTTTTGAAATACCCGCGCATGCTTAATGCGTGTGACAGAGAAAGAATTTCGATATTGCGTGATGAGTCGTCATACACTCATTGAGCATAATGGAGAATTCAAACGCAAATATCTTCATAATCGTTATCGTTATCGTTGAACTCATTATGATAATCCCTAACCGATTATGTATCAAGATACAGGGTGTCCCATCTGAAAATAAATAATTGAGTCGTTACAGGTGAAACCATAAGTGATGAGAGACTATAAAACATCGACAAATTTCACAATTTTCTATCCAAGGCTCTTGCCATGTTCGAGTATCATACTTCCAGAAAAAACTCTAGAAACTATAGCTATCGTCCAATGTTGACACCCGGTATAGGTGAGTAGAATCCAGATAATAAACAAATCGCACGATATCATTTAATGTAAACAGTCAAGATAAAGTTCAACATTTATATTGATACCTACTACCTAGTAATCGAGTGACCGAATGACGATGAAAACAATTTTCATAGTAATAATTGATCAAGGAATGAATAAAAGCGTCTAGCTACACCAATTTCATCGGTGGCTCTGTGATGAAGTCTCGTGCGTACTTATACATGATGTCACTGAAAACACGTGATATTTGCGAGATACGATTGTTTCTTCATTGAAATAATTTTTAAGTAGGCGAATGGTCAAGTGGAGTCTGGATTTGACTGTCGTGCCTGCGGCTAGGGTTCAATTCCTGCGAGGGTCAAGTTATTTTTTTCTTTCTCTGAAGTAATCTTTTTACAACCACACTTTCTCGGAAGGAGTTTTATTTAGGCCAAAAATGCTTCTATTGTGCAGAAAAATTATCATTGCACTATCATTCAATTGTTATTTTCACTAAAAAATAATATTCCATGCACCCTGTACCGACATTTCGTATACTAGTAACAATGATGGCAGGTAAAATAACGGATTACGCTGATGACACGTGGTGTTTCATAAATGTATGTGCACGTTCAGATATGAAGATCCAATTTATATATTTCCACACAGCACTGAACATCTTAAAGACGTCCATGTTATGTCCAAATGATGCCTGAACGTCCACAGTCATGAAATGGCAGTCTCAAAGACGTCTATCTAAGGTCGTTCCAGAGTCGTCAGAAATTGACGTTCTAACGACGTCTTATCATAGAACAAAAATATTCCATCAGCAAACTAAAACTGTATGAGAAAGAGGCAATATATTGAATTTTGATATAAAAAGGATAGTTGTTGCTGACCTTCTCAGTGAAAACACTGACCAGATAGCACGGGACGTCTCGAGGACGTCCATTTTTGATCTGAACGTCCAGGACCTTTCATGGACGTTTGAGGGACGTCTATCATAGGACATACTCGAGACGTCCAGGAAAAGACGTCTTCAAAACGTCCAATTTACAGACTTTTGCGGTATATCAGTTTTGATAAATACAGGGTGTCCTTAAAAGGTCTTTACAAAAAGCTACCACATATTCTTCAGACCAAAACAATTCGATACAAGCAAACTTACCTCAGTAAAAAGTTGCTTAGTTTCGGCGCTAGACGGCTCTGAAGTTGAAATTTTCAAATCGATTTTGCTTCATAACTTTTGAACGGCTCATGAGATTTTTTTCAAATTTGGTACGTTGGCATAGACTCATCGGGCAATGAAACTCATATCATAATCATAATGAATATCATTCCATGGTCGTAGAACATGATTTTTTCAGGAAATAAACATCTTAAACTCCTACGCCAATGGAAAAAAATTAGTTTCAATATGAAATCTAAATTATTCAACTCATTCACTACAAAAAAGGTACTCTTGACAAAAGTCGATTCCTCTCATGGTTTCGACAAAATTTTAATTTTAGTGATTTAGAGCATAATTAATAATAAAACGATTAACAGATATTTCATAAAAATTGTTCAAAATGTTCACCATTTTCACGTATACAAAGATTTATACGACGTAAAAAGTTGAAATGTACTCTTTGCATAACTTCTTCATCGCCTGTAAGATTATACGTTGCCATAATTGTTCTACAGTATTCACAGGGGTCTTGTAAACCGTAGACTTGAGATAACCCCATACAAAATAATCCATCGGTGTTAAGTCTGGAGAACGTGGTGGCCAATTCACGGGTGCATCATTACCTCTACCTATCCATCTGTCTGGGTACTGTTGGTTTAAAAAATTCCTAACATCCACCGAAAAATGTGGTGGAGCTCCATCGTGCATAAACCACATATCTACCCGATGTTGGAGTGGTAAATCTTCCAACAAATTTGGCAACGTTTTTCGTAGATGTTGTAAATACATGTCTCCTGTTAATCTTTGTGGAAGTATGACAGGACCAATTATAAAATTTCCTATTATTCCAGCCCAAACGTTGATTTTGAATTCGTGTTGAAAATGGTTTATTTTAATGGAATGAGGATTTTCAATTGCATAAACGTGTTCATTATGAAAATTAGTTATTCCTCTTCTCGTGAAACAGGCTTCATCAGTGAACAAAATATTCTTTCCAAAGTTCAGATTCATTTCTCTTTGCAAATTAATGAACCTACAAAACATCAGACGACTTTGTGAATCATGGATTAATAAATCTTGAACTGGCGTCTTGTGGTATGGGTATAATAATTGTTCTCTTAGTACTTCATGAACGGCATTCCTAGAAACTTCTAGTTCATTACTTATCCGTCTGGTACTCAATTCTGGATTTTCTTCAATACGGTCTAAAATTTCTACTTCGACTTCGGGAATCCTTACATAACGCTGTCTTCCATAATCACCAGTTCTAGGAGCAAAATGACCGGTCTCCCGAAGACGTCTCTCAACTGCAGCAAAGGTTGGGTGGCTTGGTACGCGACGATTTGGAAACCTTGCCGAATACACCCTCACACTCTCTCGACCATTTCCTTGACAATATCCGAATACCAATAACATATCGGTGTATTCTTCATTGGTGTATTGTACGGCCATGATAAATCAGAAAAGTCCGATATCAACAATCAACGTCAATAAAACTCGACAAATCAACACAGATGA